AATTGTATTGTGGAGGAGGTGGTGGTGGTTGTTGTGTAGGAGTTATCGGTGGATTGCATCTCGGTGATCGGCGTGGAGGCATCTTTCAACTAAAAGTTTACAAAGATGAAGATGATAGTAAGAATTAATTGTGAGTACTATGAGAGTGATCCATGGACTAAATCTCCATAGCCCAACAAAACAGATGAGAGTATGATTGAAATAGAGATCTAACTATAGAAGGATGAGAGCATTTGGATAAAGATTTACCAAAATACTAGAAGTCTGTCAATGATATTGGCATTATAAATGTAACGAGTTCAGGAAAAATTACCTAAAAGTAGGTCTTACATCAAACTATAACAAGAAAATTTTGACAGCGAAGAGACCTAACAGACTGACAGTCCAAGGTCCTTAATATAAGCGGAAAATTAATACTAGAGTCTATACATAGGCGTAAATATATCCAAAAGACAAAGTAGAGAAAACTCTACTTGCAACGAGAACCGCTCGGATGAGCCTTTGATTCTGCCTGATGACGTTCCATGTCCAGCATACACCTTTCGAATGTTTCCTGGCATGCACGAAGTTCCCTGATTTCAGCTTGAGTTGCAGTAAGTTCACTCTGCAGGACCTCATTGTGGTCCATAGTTCTTCCATAGGCAGCTTGTAGATGGTGAATGCGGATTGTATTGACTCCCGCATCGGCATCAACTTCTATGACTCGATTGATGGCTGCCCTACCCTGCTCGTCATTTCTAGCAACCCTGCGAACCAGGATAGGCAGGATTATGTCTGCTGAGCCTCCCTCGCTCAATTTGTAGAAGCTTCTGTCTCCATTGTATGGTAAGGGTGTACCTTGTTCTTGACTCCATCTACCTACGTTCTCAACCCACAGAGGCGTCGGGCCATGAAAAGTCGGACGAGGATTAGGATTTGGGATTGGAGCCACTAAGGGTAGATCATTAACTTCCGGCTCGGAGTCAGAATCCTCCGGGAAGTCTACTGCGAAGTCATCATCCAAAGGAATTGCATGATTCTCTTCCAACATTGCCTTGGTTGGGAAAGTACGGGTCGTCGGGGTGATTGAAACCAGCCATGTTATCTACACGAGAATAGGGATAAAAGAGATAGTTAATAGGCGTACTACTAAAGATAATTATAGGATGATCCTTACCAGTTACTTCAATACTTGCGTAGTGCATACCAGTCATATGTAACTGAAACAGGATAGACCTTTGAATAAGTGACCCTAACTCTAAGTCCACAACCAAACAAGGAACAGGCAGTAAAGCAAAGATCACAGATTCTAAGTCTATGACACCCTAGTCACATATAACCTTAGCGCATCCACTCAGCAACTATTGACCTACTAATAAAGACCTTTTAGTTCTCAAACAAGTAATTATAGTAACACAAAATACTCCTATAGTATTTTAAGTTTATGTTCTATTCTAAAGTTTCCATTGTAGTAGTGTTGGTAAGTTTTTAGACTTGCTGCAACACCACAACCATTCCTAGGCACATGCTAATCACTCTCGGAAAGATATAGTTGATCAGGCTATATCACTCCCAAATCGGATTATATGTCCCCAAGCCTACTTGTGTTGTCCAACAACCGCAATACTTTTGTTCTGATCTAGTATGACACTGATTTTAGTATGAATGCAAGTATGTATACTTTGGTTAAATATTTTATTATTTAAAAGTATAAACTCTTGGTCAGAGTATTTTTAATCCCGATGTGTTTATAGTTGTATATCTTTTATGGGTTGATATACTCAATTCACTATAAACAAAGCTCTGATACCAATCTGTAGCACCCCCAAACCAGAACGGCAGAAATGTTCGGGGGCGGAGGACGTCATGTAAAGTATCATATCAATGCATAATAGTAAACAAGCAACAACATAATCCATTGCATTAATAGTACAATTTAATGCAAGTGTGTTATGTGTATAGTTTGAAAGACACCAAAATATTAATCAAAATAAAAGACGAGTCTTGAACACGCTCCGTCTTCTCAAAACCTGGTCTAGTGTACCTGTCTACTGGTGACCTGAGAATACAAGCTATTTTGAAAGAGTAGATCAGCATTTAAGCTGGTGAGTTCATAAGTATTTTAGTTTCGATGTTTGTATAAGTTTGATGAAAGTGTTTGTAAATGTTTGATGTAAATGTTTGTATCTCCTAGACCGACTGTTCTGTATGTTTGTTCTTTTCTAAAAGTGAGTATTTTTCCCAAGTATGACTATCATTACCAAAAATATAGTTTGCATTACCGTTTATGTGAGAAGATCACAATGTGAATGTAATGTGAAAATAAAGATGTACCGTAGTATTATATATAGTAACTACAATTGTACTAACTACCATAAACCAATTGTTTAATTAAGGTAAAATGTGATGAGATTATAACCATGCTTGATTGACTAGTAAAAAACGACATTGGAAGACGTCAAAATGGTATGACTTTCATCACCCGTAGACCTGCAGGTCCCACTGTAGCTAGCACCAAGGTGTAGCATGGTTAATCTCGTATAGATCTATACACAAATTCACACTCTCCCTCCAGGAGACTCTGGTTACAAAACGTGACACAGCAGTATATTGCCACGCCATGAAGTAGTGGCTCACATTAATGTTATAGTATTCTTGTATTTGTATAGTATGTTCTCTCTATTCTAGTGTATTGTATGTTCTCTTTGTATAGTATGTTCCTCCCTGTTTCTCATTATAGTATGTTCTTTCTGTTTCTCGTTATAGTATGTTCTTTCTGTTTCTCGTTATAGTATGTTTGAACTGACTCATGTACGAACAGACTCTTGTATGTTTCATTGTACTAGAAATAGTGAGTAGTAGTCCTCTAAACTATACCTATTATGGTTTACTAGTAATGTTGTTTGAATGATTGAGTATGTTTGTACACCTTTGCTACCCAAAGGTGTTGAACTGATGTAAGAACTTTTATATATCTATACACATATACATAATATATAACTAAGATTCAAAAGACACTCGGACAAACAACCGATACCCTAAGTCCACAACCAAACAAGGAATAGGAAATAAAGTGAGTTATCAGTCCTAATCCCTTTCAACCTTATTTATATAACTATATCTATATAGACATGATTTTGACAATATATAAGTTTAAAAGAGTTTGATAAAGAGTTTAGCATATAAAAGAGTTTTAACCATTTGATTGGTTATAGATGACTTGATGTCAGTTTATAAAATGTTTTGAAATAGTTTTTTTGATAACACAGTTTTGAAGTATAAGAAATCCAATGATGTTCACCGCCAATGATGTTCTTGAGAAGGGTTTACGGCCAAGGGAGAAGTTATGAATGTAAACTCTTGATGTTCTTGATGAAATGGTTGTTTCAGGGATGTATTTCAAGAGCTTTTAATGGATAACTAGTATATGGAAAGGATACTTATGTTTTGGAAGCTTGAAGGGGTGTTCACGGCCCAAAGAATTAGTGTGTTCTTGGTGTTCTTGAAGATTTAACCCAAAAAGAGATGATTTCACGGATGAAATCATAGGGGTTTACTAGATTAAGAAGGGTATCAACTAATAAATGGAAGAAACACTTACAAATTTGTCGAGAATTAGAAGTGTTCTTGATGATACTTGAGAGAAAAATGAGTGTTCTTGAGTTGGAAGTGTGAGAAATGAAGAAAAATGAAGGAATATCACACTTATGGAAGGAGTCCACGGCCAGCCAAGAGATTACAGCCATAAGCTATAGTTTACGGCCGTAAACTCCAAGTGGTAGAGTTTTCCGGCTTGAATGTTGCACAATGAGCTCTAGCAGATACTTCCTAACACTCAATCCTTGAATGTACTAGCCTTAGAACACTCAAACAGAACCTTAACAATGCTAAAAGATAGCAGAAACAAGTCTGACTTGTGATTGAATTGAATGGTTTCACAAGATAGAAATTTCGGGTTGTCACACGTTCCATTGTCAACACGTGTCTACAGCCTCACGACTTGTCGCCATTATACTCTCAACTCCATACACAAATATACAGAACTAATCATATAAATGACATTCAATGATAAAAAGATTCTATAGATCTATGCATATACTCTCTTTTACTAGCTCTTATATTCTGATATACATGGATATATATTGTAATACATAGTACAGTGACATAATTCACCTGGACAGTCTCGAAACAGCTAAGTATGTAGTTTTGCAAAGAACTTTAACCAACACATATCAACCTATAATATACTTTACTCATTATTAATTATTTGGTCAAAACGACTAATATTTAGATCCTTCATTAATCCCAACGAATACCGAGTTTTATAAAAAGGAATGACCAGTTAAGATCCTATTGGAGGTAGGATTTGTTTGGTATACAGAGTATATTGGAGGTAGGATCCTATTGGAGGTAGGATTTGTTTGTATACCGAGCTTTATACAGATATACCACTGAAGCTGGGATTTTATATTCTTCAAAAATTTGATTCTGAGAGAATGGTGACAGATATTGTAGGAAAGTAAATGAAAGTAACAACAGAGTCTGTTCATGACATGTTGGGCATACCAACTGGTGAAACGATAATTGCACAACGGGATCAATGGCCTAAAGATGATACAAGTTATGATGAATGGAAGCAACAATTTAAAGAAGGTTCAATCATCCGACTGAATGCAATCAAAAAAGTTATTGTTTGTACCAAAAAAGGCTAATTTCAATTTCAAATTAAAATTCTTAGTTCTTTTTGTCAACATGTTTTGTGAGTCAACATCAATGGGAAGATGCAACCTATTTCCTTTGAGTTATATTTCAATAAAAACATATATCAGCCACATAGACTGGTGTAACTATCTTTTGGACTTTCTTGTCAGAACAAAGAACTCATACATACCATACTCAGATACCAGCTATTTTGTTGGACCTTCAGCTTTCTTGGTGGTAAGTTATTATAATGTTTATATTCAATTTTTAAAAATAATTAATTATTCGCAAGTAAATAGCACATATTCATATATGAGAGAATGAAGGAAAAGTATAATTCAAAATTCAATGATGCGATAAGAAAGTTCCCTAAAAAGGAAAGTTTTAGGATTTTCAAAGAAAATATTACAAATATAATTGTTGAAGAAAAACTTGAAAGCACAACACTTTTTGAATTTCCATGTAATGAAACTGGAGTTGAAGGTATCAATTTGACACCAGTAATGGGTCAGAAAACAAATGATGAAAAAGAGAATGAAGATATAGAGGGAAATGGTGAAGAAGACAATGATAATGATGGAAGTCAACCGCAAGTAGATTATTTGCTTGATTCAAACGAAGCAGAGAATGAAGGAATAAAGAATGATGGAGATAACAATAAAAAAGAAGGTGAAACTGAAGTAAAAGAGAATGATGCAGAGATCAATGAAAATGAGAATGATAAAGAGACTGAATATGTAGAGACTAATCGACAAAATGAAACAAATCAAAATCTGTTGGATAAAGTTGTTGACAACATTGTGGATAATGTCCTTGGAATTGGATTTTCAAGTTTAAATAGTCAAGAAGATGAAATATGGAATGACCCAGAAATGAAAATTATTTTGGATAACAATGATATAGGTAAATTTTGACATAATTTTATTTTATAAAAATATTAATACACAATAACAAATTTTGACCAGGGTCACCAATGACTAGTAGTAAAACTAATACTCTGATCAGTCAAGTTATTCAAGGTATGTTACTATCAAATTATTATTTATTCACAAATTCATTAATTAATTATATATAATATATAATATTAAATGGATCTTGTAGAAAAGGGAAAATCAGAAGGTGTACATAAACAAGGAGAAGAAGTTGAAAACATAAAGGGAGATGATACAGGTAAATGAATGATTCATAAGTGAATAAGACGCTATATAAATGAGTAAAAAGGATAGAATATTCATATATGATATATATATATATATATATATATATATATATATATTATATATATATATATATATATATATAAAGGGAAGCTCTGAACATGTAAATAAAGGAGGAGTAGAAGCTAAGAACACAAAAGATGGAGGTACAGATAAACAAACATAAATTGAGAAAGGAAATGCAGATGATAGAGGTAAATAGTTGATCACTAATAAATGAATACAATAAGTTTGATTATTCATAAATGAATAAAACAATATACGAATAAATAAAAAATATAGTATTACTTATTCATAAATAATGATATGCATTACTTATTCGTAATTGAATACATTACTTATTCATAAGTGAATAAGACAATGTAAGTAATGCTTACATTTATTTTTTTGAATAACACACTTTTCATTTATTAATAAGTAAAAGATAGAATTACTTGTTCATAAGTAATGCTATAATACAATATTTTGAATATAGATACAATATTCATATATGTTCTTTATATTTTAGGAGAGAAAAAGTCTGAAAATGAAAACAAAAAAGGAGGAGAAGCTGACAAGACAAAAGGAAATGAAGGAGGTAACAATTTGGAAAAACATTTCAAAATATAAAAAAATATCATAATGAACATATAACTATTTAATATGATAAATCTCCTGCCATGCGGATAATACACATCCAAGCTTTAGTCTAGGTCTCAGCCAAGATTCAGATCAAACTTCAAGTAAAAAATCTAATGAATCCTCACCAAAAAAAACCAGTTACAAAGAAACAAATCAAAGACGACCATCAAAGGGTTGTGATCAGATTAGCAAAAAAAATGTTCTTAATCCAAATCCAACCTCTGTATCAATTCCTAAAGAAGTAGGACCATCAAAGAATGATTTTCATGGACCAAGAGAGAAGAAGCTTGTTGATGCTTTCAAATCACCTTACAAATGCATGATAATAGACACAAAAGCTAAGCTGACAAATCAGGAGAGTATTGTCTGTGAGTGGGTTTTCAACTTGCAAGGGAATACATCGTAAGTAACTTTATTTTACAAACATATTCACATATGATTATTATATAGATAATAATGTATGACATTTGATTAAATATTTGCAGAGATGTGGTTGTCCAGACAATATATGGTCCGGTAATAGAAAGAACATTTATGGGAAATCTAAATGCAAACACAGAGATTTTTGCAGAATTTATAGACACTTGGGCTGATTACTTAACCACCAAGAACTGGAAAGGGATTTCGGAAATTCACCATACAGACTTTTCTTGAAAGTTGAAGTTTCTGTCAGTTTATGTTCTAACATTAATTTATTCTTTATTTATTGAAGGAATATACCAATATGATGTATTCATTTATGAATATTATATTTATATTCATTTATGATTATAGAATATCATATATTCTTTAATATAATTATGTATATGCAACTGAAATTCATATATGATTATAACAAAATGATTTATTCATCTTTGAATATAAAAATCAAAAATAAAAATCTTTACTATATACTTATGATTAATATACCAACATGATGTATTCATTTATGATTAACAACTTACTAATCCTTTAAAATTATATCGGTTACAGAATTCTTATGTATATTCAACACTGTCTGATGAAAGAAAGTATGAAAAATTCAAGGAGAACTTTCATGACAGCACTGATGGGTACCAAAAAATCTTGAACATAGAAGATACTAACGTGGTATGTTAATTAAACTTGTTTATTTATATATATATATATATTGTCAACAAAATACTTACCATTATATACATAAAAATAGGTATTCTTTCCTATTGTTAGAAGTGCTCACATTTTTGTGATTGTCTTCAACTTAAAGAAACCATCAATTGAAATTCTCGACAATAGTGCACTTGAGGGAGATTATGAAGGGAAATATGGAGTAATATTGAAACCTTTGGTAAGTACCCAATTCAGAACAACATATAAGAACCAATTTAAGTTTTATTTTATTTAATGATCAGAAAAATTTGTTTGTGAGATACTTTAAAGAATAAACTATCCAAGAGCCAATGCCATCTCAAAAGAAAGTATCACACCCCAAAGACTTAAAATGCCATGGAGAACAGTTAGAAACAAATTTGACTGTGGGGTCTTTGAAATGAGAAATATGGAGACCTATATGGGACAACCAATCTCAAAGTGGAAACCAGGTCGTCATAAAGAAAGTGCAATTCAACAAACTACTTTAGAGAAGCTCAGGCAAAGGTATGCACACCAAATGCTAACTTCTAAAACTAACATGTTGAAGGCTAAAGTGTTGGATCTTACTAAAAAATATCAAAATGTGGAATTCAAAGTGTGTACCACTCATGCATAGAAGGCTATGCAAAACAATTCAAAAAAGATTAAAAGAATATTGATGATTGCTTGTGACGAAGTGTGATGGTGTAGAACAGTTTTTTATGAAGTTTAATGAATTTGGAGGACATGTAAGATGGTTCTGTGAAACGAGTTGAAGGGTCTAGTTTATGGTTTGAGCTAGGATATCTGATGTATAGGTCTTAATGGGTCTTTTGTCATGTAATAGAGTTGTTTGGATGTGTTTACGGACGAAAGTTTGTTTACGGCCGTGAACAGGTTTATGGCCGTAAACCTGTTTACGGCCAGCCTTTCCCCTTTATATAGGGCTTGTCAGAGTCTGTCGGTGGTTGTTGTCGAGTCATAGAGTTTACGGTCTATGTGTGTGTCTCCAAGTTGTACCTGACGTTTCTTTGATATAAACGTGTGCAAAGCTTGGTTTAATCTTCTTCTACTCCATTCAAATCTTGTTTGATTGTTATTTGTTTGATCACCGGTTCAGATCCTAGATTTCAGGGCCTTACAATTGGTATCAGAGCGAATCCGGTGTCAAATCATCTTACAATCATTTTCACGATCAAAGGAGCTTAGTTTCGTCATTGTTCGAGGCCTGATTTCGTGTCTTTGTAGCAAACGGGGATCAGATCTGCTTAAAATTCGTGTTTTCGTCAAAATCTGGGCATTTACGGTCAAGTTTTCACGGTCGTAAACTCCTATTCACGGCCGTAAACTAGCAATCTTCAATAACCGTATACTGTGTATCTTCAGAAACCGTAAAAAGGCAATTTTCAAAGACCGTAAACGGGCTAACCGTAAACTCCTCAACAGTAATCAGCCAACCGTAAACTCCTCAACTGTAATCAGCCAACCGTAAACTTGTTTACGGTCGTAATCTTGTGCCCGTAAACTAGATTTTTGGTGTTTTTGTTTATTTTTTAAGTCATTTTCAATTTAAAAAAAACAACAACAAAAACAAAAAACAAAAATCAAAGCCCAACAATTCATCATGAATTGGATTCAATCATGGGAACAACCACTCGCATTCCACGGTTGTTATCTGCAGAAGGGTTCCCGGAATGGAAATACCGGATCGAGAAATACATCAAGATGAAAGACTTTAAGGTTTGGCAAAGCATTCTCAGTGGACCAGTCAGAATCACTACTACTCTTGCGAATGGACAAATAATTGACAAAGTGTTTGCTGAATACACTGATGAAGACTTAGAAAAGGTTGAAGAACAGGAAAGGGCGTTGGCTACTTTAACTATGGCTTTATCTCCTGATATTTCTCAAGGATTCAGAGAGTATGATTCAGCCAAGGCATTGTGGGAAGCTTTAATTGAGGTCTATGAGGGTAATGAAGACATGAAACAGAGTCGCCAAGACATGTTAAGACAGAAATTCAATATTTTAATTATGTTCTTGGAGAAACTCTAGAAGTTTAGTTGCAGCGTTTTACCACACCCACCACTGAAATGAGTTTAGTTGGGATTTATGTGACTAAGTCTGAGATAAACAAAAAGCTGTTGAATTCACTTCCGAAGGCATGGGATATGAACGTGGCTGTCATCAAGAAGACGAAAGATCTCAATCGTCTCAGTCTTGCTGAAACTATGGCAATCATCAAAGCCTGTGATCTTGATGATAAGCAAAGAGAGATCAATCATGTGAATTCCTACTCGACTGCAAATCTTGGGATTTCTTCAAATAATGCCTTTTCATCTTTTACCTCCTCTCCAAGTCAAGCTTTTGTCGTTCAACAACCTCAGAATCAAACCTTTGTTGCTCCATCACCTGCACCATTTGTTGCTTCATCATCTATGTCTCATCCACAAAGTCAGTCTTTTGTTGTTCCACAAGCTGTTTCCTCCTCCAAAGCACCAGTTATGGTTCCTGATCCCAATCCCAAAGAAAGCGATGAAAACTTAACTCTTGCCACTGGACTTGTCAATTACTACAATGCTTTTGTAGCTGGAGAGCTTCCACCTCAACTCTCATGTAACACCAGCGAAATTAGGGTCAAAATTTAACTTTTATAAAACAATAATTGGGATATACCAAGTGGTATATATCATAACGAGATTTCCAAACATATAAAGCACACTAAAATCCGAGTTATAACGCAGAAGTTATGACCAATCGAAGATCCGCGGCAATACCAGCAAAACACTGTTAAGCGTAAAATACGAAATCCCGATAAAAATACTTTTTAGCCTTAGGTATCTAAATGAAGGTCATAGATATCATTAAACCGTGAGCATACATAAAAAGAACGCCTAAATCTGATTTCGTATGAGGAAGTTATGATTTTTCGAAGTTTCTGACCTAGCAGTAGACAGCTAAAAACTCGAAATAGAGATCGAGCGGTC